GAGCTGCTCTTTATCTGCTATGAATTGCAAGTGAAAAATGTGAGATCAATGATGAAAGAGTATGAAAAGGGTATGAAGAGGAAAAACCCCTTATTAATTCTGACAAATCATACTGTGCTAGAAGTGTAAATGGCTATTGCAGCTGCTCTACTGGTCTTTTCAAAGTTGGTAGGCTCTTAAACATAGTTATTAAAAGACATTTTCACCATACGTTATTGGATTGAAGGAGCTGAAAACAACAATGTCAAAATACTCAGCTATTTCTGTCTTTCCAGGAGAGTGCCTGAAAAATGACATCAATTATTCTTCATGTCCTTTGACATGAGATGTCTCTATGTGTCACATGAGTGTAGCTGCATTACAGAAGGGCAAAGGCACAGCATTTTTCAGTTGAGGATAGTTTTGCCAGATACTGACACTGGTGTTGGCAAATCTCTAGGGTAAAATAAGGAGCTCTTCAGAACATCTTGACTTTTACAAAAGGTTTGGATGCTTGCAAGCATAGAGGTGCTGAAACCTCAAGAGTATTTTATGTCATGCTTGGTGACAGTGGCTTGTCAGAGGATGAAATTTGCCATAGAAAGGCTGGAAAGAATGTGGATAGTTTTTAACATGCACAAGAAATTTTTGTGAGGTGTATGTATCTTCCAGAAATTTGTGGAACAAATGGAACACACAAAGGACTAAAAGGACCATAAAGAAATATACTCTTATTCCTGGTAGAAGATATGATAGGAAATGCCTTCACTGCCTAAAATTAACACAGTGGCATTGAGCTGAATTTGCATTCCTTTTCTCACTTAAAATAGTGTCCAAAACAAGTAAAGGCTGCAACAGCTTGATCATAATTTACTTGTTACAACCAACCTGTAGCTTCTCTGCCTTGCACTGAGGCTAGAATCATAGAATCATGAGGATCATTAAGATTGGAAAAGACTTCCAAGATCATCAAATCCAACCTTTGACTGAACAGCACCTTGTCAACTAAACCATGGCATTTTGTGCCATGACCAGTTGTTTCTTGAAAACTTCAGGGCTGATGACTCCACCACTTCCCCGGGCAGCTCGTTCCAGTGCTTAACAACGCTAAGGGAATAAAGGTCCTGGCCTCACTATGAATAGGATGACACTTGCTACTGGACATGCCACACTTGCACAAATAAGTAATTTTCCTGGACTGATGTTTGCTTCCAAGTGATTTCCAGAGTTTCAGAGGAAGAAAAAGCATTATTCAGTCCTGGTGAACTTGTGCTGGTGGTCAGAGCTGTATTATCACAGATGTGGCTTTCAGCCTGCACTGTGGCTTTGCCTGACTTTGTCAATGATTACTGTCTGGTCAGTAAAGCTGTGGAGTGGATGCTCTTCAGGCACTTCAGTGTGTTTTTGTATGTGCAATGATAACTGTAACAACATCACTACTGCTGCTACTACTAATGTCTTTCTGTGCCCTTCACATCTCATTCTTACGATCATTAAAGATGGAATTCTGTCTTTTTTCTGCTGGCTTCACACTGATGAGATATCAATGATTTTAATGGGAAAGACCACCAGTGGGAATTTTTGCCTCAAAATAACTTTCTTTTCCATCTGATAATGAAAGGAATTATCTGTTCCTTGACCTTTGGTTGGCAGACTTGGAAATTGAAAATTGATGGTTGTACTGTACTAGCTTCACTGTAATGGTGTGGTCAGGGGTTTCTGAGCATTTAAACAAAGGTGAGTGTGCTGTGAGATGTGTCAAGGCAGGAGCCAAAATGCAGGGAGCACTGCTTGCGCTGCTTGTGGAATAACCTTGTAAACTCCGAGCTCAGGGAGAAGTACCTTCCCGTGGGTCGGAGAGTGGAGGTGTCTCCCCAGCCCCTGTATCCCTGTTGTGTTTTGGCAGGGAACCATGCTGTGATACAATGTTAGACATCTGTCTTCACCAAGACCTTCAGTGATGCTACTCTTGTCAAATGCTTGTATCTCAACTAGGTAAAAAAAAGATAATTCATTTTAAAACCCAAAAAAGTAACAGCACTAGAAGGTGTAGATGTTTCTATATAAGACACAGTGCAGGAGAAACTTTAAAGTTGAGGTTTTGTTTATTCTTTCCTGTGAGCTCCTTATTGTAATGTCTAAGCACCTTATAAATATTTATGGCTGTGTCCTCAAAGGAAAATGAGATTTATATAATGGAGGTTCAAAGTGACGTTAAAAGAAGCAACTTTCCAAAGGTTCCTACACAGTTATACCATGACAGAACGGGGACAGTAAATCAGACCAGTACATCCCATTTTGGTAAACAAGCCAGAATTCCATCCTTATTATTAGTTACTTTTGCATTGGCTGCTTACAGAGTAATTCACTGCTTTTTTTTTCTTAAAATACAACTACTTTATTTTAGGGAAGTCCATTATTTTTGGTAGATTCACTCTTAAGCAGGCCACACGCATGGATTGATGGCCAACAGGGGTTTGCTGTTAGCTGCTGCAGAGGAACAGAGGAGAACATTAAATTCAATTTATGCTGCTCTGTGACAGCTTACTCTGATCTTGCTCCTTGGCTGCTGAAGGTGTCCGAGCATCACTTGGGAGCTGCCCATGCTCAGAAGCTGATGCTGTGTGCTGGGGTGAATTTGCAGCACAGAGCTCAGCAACACTGACTGCCTGGGATGGAGTTGTCTTTGCTTTCTTCCCCTCTCCCCATCCTTGTGCTGCTGCTCAGGGCAGCTCACGAGCTGGCAGCAGCTTCCTCTTTAGGACAAGCCAGTAGTGAAACAGTTCCCTGCATCCCCTCTTGTGTGCTCATGAGAGGTGCTGATTTCTGTGGTCTCCAGGTGACCCTGGGCTTCTCCAAACAGCAGCTGGGGGGACAAAATGTTGCTGTGGTGGCAGCTCTCTCCTGCAGTCAGGGATTCGAAGCTGTATTTGGGCAGTGACAAAGTGCATGAGCAAGAGGCTATTTCTCTGTTCCTCAGGGTTTAAAGTTTTTGTGCAAATCTCTTTGAAGTTAGTGAAGGACTTCTGATGCTGCAATAGGCTTTGAATTTGACCCCAAGTGTCAGTTGACAGTGTTTGTCTTTTGTTAGCTGGCTTGTGAGTATGAAGTATATTCTTTGGAGAATATATTGAATGTGCAGATTTCCACAATGATCTTGCTCCATTCAAAGCAATCTGGCTTTGGATATATGTTGAAATACCCCCCAGTATGCTGTAGACACATTCCTCTTTGGTCCTGGATGTGCTGTTTGTATGTGTTTAGTCGGCACTGTGAACTCTGAGGTTTTCTTTTAAGTTTTTCTACAGTACTTTAGGGAACTCAACTCTCATCACTAATAAAATAAAATAAGGCAAAACACTGGTAGGTCTTGCCTTGTTAACTGTTCTAGCTGTTGTGTTTCCCACTGTTCCAAAAAAAATACAAAGCTTTATAAGATTCAACATATTCCCAGTGCAAATCATGAATATTTATAGGCAAAGAATAAGACTTCCCATTTTGAAATGTCAGTGCTATGAAATTGCTTTTTTGGCAAGCATGATTTAGCCACACAGACTTCCAATAAAGTTTTGTAAGCTTTTTCCTTAATTATGGCTTAATTTAGGCCTCTAAGTTTAACAAAACCTGTAAAACTTACAGCAAAATATTTTTCTTGTGGAAAATTTTGTTTGCATAGATTACAAATCCCATATTTCTTGTGGTTATGATTTTTTAATGTGCTCAAATGTGGAAATTCCATGTTTTTTCTTTACGTTTCTTAACACATTTACAACATAAAAATAACCTATATTGTGTATGTAATGCAGAATTTTGAAGAAATTAGTTTGAAAAGTGCATGTGATTACTTTTTTCCTCCAAATGCCTTGAGTAAAATGTAGAGGAGGCTATAAGTCATCAAGCAAGGGGTAAAAGATTCTGTCTCAAGCAGATACTGCTGCAAGAGATAAATGAGGAGCAATTTTGCTTTCATATAGTTGTTCTTAAATGTACCGTCCTGACAACAGCAATAAATAATCTACATAATTGCATTTGTGTGGCATTGACCTGTCTTTCATAGAGAAAATCCCTTTTCCCAGATAAAATAATCTTCCATTCAGCTGTAAGTGGAAGGAAGCCTCATTAGTAGCTGCACAGATTTAGGGGAATGTTTCTGCACAGGCTTAATAGAGAATTTTGATGTGGACCTCCTAGTGAATTTGATATTTGGTGAACAAATTTCTGTAAAGGCACTCAAACCACCTTGCTTTCGTGTGCTGATTGCCTAACAGGGTATTTACTCAAAAGGACTAGACAGGAAAGCAGAGAGATGATGTGATTAAACTTAGGTAGATTTATTACTAGATTTTTAACAGCATATTTTATTAAATTGATGTAATAAATATCTCAACCCTGCTCAAAGATAAAGTTTTGAACAGCTTTGAGCTGTTCCTGGCTTAATACTTAAGTAGAAGTAGAAGAAGTGGTGAAAAAACAGGATCATTTTGGAAAAGAAGCATTGAAACAGTTTAAAACCCTCTTCTGTGATCATGCTTTTCGATCCCCTGCAGCCTTGCATTATCAAAATGAGAATGTCTCTCTCTCTGTCTCCCTAATACTAATGTTTGAAATATGATACAGATAAATCATCTGAATAAAGTATGAAGGAAAAAAAAAAGACGTGATTTGCATCACAGCTACCTGGGACCTGTTCTAATGGCAATTGCACTTGCTAAAATGAGCATAGAGGTAGTCAGGGGCTCTAAAGCTGAGCTTTCTAGGAGGGGTGAAGATAGTGGAATGCCTTGAAACTCAGACACTTGGGCATTTTTAATTTCTGGGTTTGAATGGTGAAGTCAGCATTTGCAAAAACAAATATTTGGAAAGCGGTTGGAAAACTGTTTTACTGAAAATGATGTGGAAATCAGGGAGTTTGTGAGGGGAGGCGTGTGCTTTTATTTCCCCAGTGAAACTCCCCAGGATGGCACAAAGTACCACCAGAGTCTGCTCTCTGTGTTTTCACCTGTCTTTGTTCTTCTTTGCAGGTTACATATTTGGGTAAAGTTTCCACAACAGGGATGCAATTTTTGTCAGGCTGCACAGAAAAACCAGTCATTGAATTGTGGAAGAAGCACACGCTCACCAGGGAGGATGTTTACCCAGCTAATGCCCTTCTGGAAATTCGCCCTTTCCAAGTCTGGCTGCATCATCTGGACCTCAAGGGTGAGGCGACAGTGCACATGGATACCTTTCAGGTAGCACGTATAGCCTACTGCACTGCTGACCACAACGTCAGCCCAAACATCTTTGCTTGGGTCTATCGGGAGATCAACGATGACCTGTCCTACCAGATGGACTGCCACGCTGTGGAGTGTGAGAGCAAGCTGGAGGCCAAGAAGCTGGCCCATGCCATGATGGAGGCCTTTAAGAAGACTTTTCACAGCATGAAAAGCGATGGCCGGATCCACAGGAACAGCTCATCGGAGGAAGTGTCTCATGAATTTGAATCTGATGATGGCTGACTGAACTCATTCACAGTTCAGCAGAGGCAGAAATGGCTTAGGGAATGAGAGCTGATAGGTGAATAAGCAACAATTGAAACTGGGTAATGAAAGGACTGCCAAACACTTGTCTGACCAGCTTCTTAAATCAGAAGAGCAATTTGGTACCTACAGATATGCATCATTAAAGTAATTACGTTGAATTGAAATCTGCTGCTGTTGTAAAAGTGAGAAAAAGATCTCCCTCCCCACCTCTGTCACCCTCCCATCACTGTCCCTTTCTCATCTCTGTAGTTCAGGTGCATACCATGAAGTGCAGTCATTCCTGTTTGTCTTATGAGACTGGTCAGGCAATTTTATTAGTTGCTTCTCTGGCATTCCTAGCTGCAGGCTGATGCTGAAGCACAAGAGCAAGTAGGCCTGGAAAGCCCTAATGGTTCCCGAAGAATCTTTCCCCATGACACATCACACAGACCCTTTGACCGTTCGTAGGCTAAGACAGCCATACACAGCCTTTTTAGACTAATGGCCTGGCATTCTGCAGTTAATTCACATTTCACAGATAAAAAATGAAAGATGCTTGTATGTACACATTATATCATATGCTATCCTTTATTTTATTCATTGTACCTATTTTCTTAATGTACTGGCTGCCACGTCTTTCACCCAACACCAGTATTTGCAGTTTCAGACTATGTACTGCAGGATACCAAAAAGGGGTGGGCAGAAATACTCCCTGGTGGCTGGGGGTTCAGCAAGTCAGCCCTGCTGTCTGTGCATTATCCCACCCTGATGTGCTCCACAGGAGGGGGCCCGCTGGGAAGAGTTGAGGGACGCTTGGGTGTGTCAGTGTTAGAACTGTGACTTCTCATCAACCTCAGGTGTGACGAGATCCGAGCACGGTGGGCACAGCTCTGTGTTCCCCTTTCCGCATTGCTGGTCGAGCGACCCTGGTGGGATGGAGCTGGCAGTGTCTCACCACACAGGGCTGCCTCACTGTAAAGATCAAAGGAAATGGTCCCTTAGGAGTCAGGTTTGAACATCTGTTCTGGTTGAGAACCTCGTGTTAAGATTCCCTTATCTTTCCTTGTTCACAGATATACAGTCATGCCTTTCTTAAATGCAGATGTTTAATAAAACTCAAATAAAGGAAAAACTTGTTTCACTTGATATTTTTTAAGGCTGAGAGCAGATCAGTAGTTTGCAAGTAATGCTGCTCCTTTGTACAATTTTGTTTGTAATTATGGTAATGTTAGGGGCACTAGGGCACCTTACAGAAGCCTTAAAAGAAAGCTAATCCAAGCAGATAGCTCTGTGTCTGTATTTTGTGTGTCTGTGTTTGTATGTGAGAGTGTATGTGCGAGTCCAGTGGTAAAGCATGTGGATTGAGCATGGAGATGTATTGAGGAGGGCCCACACCTCTTGAAAATATGCTTATTGCTTTACAATGTATGTAAACTGTTCTCCAGCATAAATGCATTCATACTTTAATAAAAAAAAGTTTTGAGTTAAACCTTGTTAGTTTTAAGCTGTCTTTCCAATGTACACTCAGTGGTTTTGTGTGTGTGGGTTCTTTGTTTATTTCATTTAGTGGAATGAAAATGTTAATTTATTTCCTTTTAATTATTGCATCAGTCTTCATGAGAATTGCTGTTAACATTTTAATATAAATTTAATTTCAATATTTAGGTTAATTATTGCTGTGAGGTTGGTTGTTGGTGTTTTTGTTCGTTGGTTGGCTGGTTTTGTTGGTTGTGTTGGATTGTTTTGGGTTTTTTTGTTTGGTCAATTAGGGTTTTTTTTTATTTTTAGATTTTTTTTTTACTTTGTGGAGTGGGGACGTGATTTATAATTTTTGCTTAGCAGGAGGTGGCAGAGATACTCCCCTCTCCCAACCTGACCAGTTGAAATGAGCTCTGCTGAGTGGGAGTAGTATTGCCTTGCTTACAGAAATCACAGCATGTTTCAGGTAGGGCATTTGATGGTAGGATGGGGAATATACCACCATGCTGGCAGCTTCCAGTTTTTCTCTGAATCTTTGGATGACCCAGTGTTTCCAAATACAGATGTAAAAAATTATTTCTCTTTTTCTTCCCACAATGTGTACTTGGAAATGGGGAGTCATGTATGGACTATATGCTGGTCAAAAAAAAAAAAAAAAAATCTGGGTCCTGCTCTTTATATAGTTGCCTTTTTGAACAAAGGCAGAATTAGGCAAAATTTCCTTCAACTTTTGACAAATCATTTTCTTTTGTAGTCATATGTTAGTTTCCTGACTTGTTTGGATGCTCTGCCACCAAAGCTGCTATGAATTGGTGTGTGGAATCCTTCATTGCATCCTGTCACCCAGATGTCCCTGCTGACAGCAGAGGGGTTCATGTGTGAACCCCAGCTCTTAGCCAAGGGCTGCTGGAGTGTGGAAGGGGCAGGAGATTCCCAGCCCACCCCACACAGGAGCTGAGGTGCCTCCTGCCAGTCCTGAGTTTGGGATTTCCACTTCTGGAGCAAATACTTGGGAGAGTGGGATGTCTTCCTGTCATGGGGTGGGTGTGATCTTTCTGGCTGACACAGTCTGCCACTGTCACCCTCCAGTCCAGGCCAGAGCACAACTACACAGAAATGTGGTCAGCAGTGGTGTGGCAGCAGCACCAAGGCAGTGACTCTCCTCCAGTGCTGGGCCCTGGTGAGGCTGCACCTTGACAGTGTTGTGTCCAATTTTGGGTCCCTCTAAGACATTGAAGTGCTGGAGCATGTCCAGAGAAGGCCAGTGGAGCTGGGAAGGGTCTGGAACACAAATCTGGTGAGGAGCAGTTGAGGGAACTGGAGAGAGGAGGCTCAGGGGGACCTCAGCGTTTTTTACAGCTCCCTGACAGGAGGTTGCAGCAAAGTGGGGGTTGGACTCTCCTCTGAGGTGACAAGTGATAGGACAAGAGGAAATGGCCTCAGGATGTGACAGAGGATGTTTAGATTGAATATTAGGGAAAGTTTCTTCCCCAGAAGGGTTGTTAAGCACTGGAACAGACTGCCTAGGGGAGTGGTGGAGGTATTTAAATCCCTGGAGGTATTTAAAAGCCGTGTAGATGTGGGGTTTAAGGACATGGTTTAGTAGTGGGCTTGGCAGTGCTGGGTTAACGTTTGGGCTCGATAGTCTGAAAGATCTTTTCCAACTTAAACAATTCTATGATTCTATGATGATTTGATTATTAACTGTCTTTCCTGTAATATGCTGGGATCCAATGAAAATATTCTGTCTCCCTAAGTCACCTGCCAGTGTGGGTTTCAGTGAAGAATACCTTTGTTGGGGTTTTTGCTATTGTCTTTTCATTTTTATTTTCTTATACAGGGCACTCTACATATCTGTTTTAAAGATGTACTGATTTACAGTGGGTTGGGGAGTTCTCCCAAAGATATTTGACACTGTGGCATCTGTGATAATTCCTAAGTGATTGGAGGCTGTGGATTAGTTGAGAATTTTGCATGATAAAAAGGAAATATAAAGGAGAAAATTCTAGTCCTTTTATTAGAAAATCAGACCCTTTGAAACATGAACCAGCTATTTTCTAATAGTTCAAACATGCAAGAGAATATGAGGGAATGTGAACTGCAGTTTGTCTTTGAAAACATGAGATTTGAAAAATAATCAGTATCATGAGTTTGGATCCTTAGATAATTTGGAATTCAGGCCAGATCTCTCTGCATTATCAATTCCAAATGTGTGATGCCATTTGCAAGAAGGAGAAATGCTTTCAATCATGAATTGCTAGCATAGCAGTTATCACTGATTATCAGTTGCCAGTAGATACTGGAATGAAATATCAAGTTAAACTTTTGCATCAATTAATCTGCTGGAAAAGAAAAATCACAAAGTTTCCATCAGAAGTAATTTCCAGTTGGCTAAAGTTGTTCCTGTTCAACTACAAAGAGTCCAGTTTTGGATCTCACTGCATCCCGCTGTGGGTTGATGAGTTCCTTCAGTGTCAGCCAGGAAAACATGTGAAGGATTTATTTCCCTCTTGTGATTCTAAGGGAGAGTGGAAAGGGTCCGAGTGTCTGTGTGTTATTAGGAGTGTGGAAAAGCTTTTAGGTCCTTACACCTCAATGCCACTACGTAACATCACCACGGTTATGCCAAGGTAATTTTCACCATTTTTCTACCTACCTTAAGAAAGGGAAACTGTGACTCTGTATAGAGTAAATTAGTTTGGTTTTCAAGCTCTGAAGTCTAAATATCTTCTTTTCCTACCAAGTCTGTGTAGCTGTGAGTGAATGGTAGTTGTGCTATGGGGAGAGCAACACTCTGCACTAGTGAGCATAGATTGCATGAGAATTGCTTAGAGGTGTTTGGGGGTTCTAGCCCAGGGGGATGGAGAAGGGCAGAGAGTAATTTCTTTCATGTTTAAACTCAAAGGCTCCAAAGAACAGCTGAATGTTTTGTTTTGTTAAAAAAAAAAAAAGGAAACAACCAAAAACACAACAAAAAACCTCCTCAAAACAAAACCCTCTGCAGCTGGTTCCACTCCTTAGCTTTTCTGTAGGGAATGACTTCAGTTTTACATGAAAAAGCAGTTGGATTTTGCCAGTGGCTTTCATTTAATTTTCCTGAAACTTACAGATAAATGGTATATGATTGAGAAACCTTTGATACAGTGGCAACCCCTTATCAGTCTCTTAGAAAACTTTAAATATGTTATTCTCGGAAGTTTTGAGACTTCTATATTAGTGAATTCACTGAATTTTATTTTAATTGTAAGGTTCTCTTTCTGTCTGTGTACACATGTATGGATATATCTGTTCATACATATCTGCACACACACACCTTGAAACATGATCCTTGTTAAATATTCTGTGTGTGATAGACATATGTAACAGTAGGTGGATGTGTGAAGGCAGTCTTGCATGTTGGTCTTGAGATGAATGTTTTGCTTATTAAAAGGTTCTCCCTTTTTCAGTAAGAAGCAAATTAAAATGTCTACCTACATGCAAAATTTGATGTACCATATGCATTATTTACCGTTTACCACCAGAGCTATCCCACTCCATGCCCAATTAGCTGCTCTAAGAATGATACGTGCTGAGGCTCATTTTTCCCTGTGGCAGTGAGTTATTAATTTGCATGTAATTGGGAAGTGATAACTTAAATGTATGATTGTTGTCCTGTAGACCAGAGTTTACAGTAAGAGAATATATCCTTTAATGAAAGTAGAGACACTCATTATACCTTTCTTCTAATGTAATTTTAAACAGATACAGGGTGTTTTTAAAAGTTCCTTTTTTGTTGAACTCCATTAAAATGCTTCCTCTCTCTCAATGTGGCATTGATCATGGTTGGCTGGGGAAAGGCAAGGTTGTCCAGGGGGATGGTCCCTCCCACCCCAGCAGGACACAGACACTGGTATTGTGCCCCTGTGCTGCAGTACAGTGTCTGATTTGATTTGCTTGAAGTTTGGGAAGACCTCTCTTGTGGCTGCAGTTCATTGTAGGTGCTGTGAGAATTTCTGCAGTTAGAATTGTAATTAATTTTGATCAGGGCTGTTAAAGCAGATACAATGATTTACTGAAAATAACTGTATGTTTGGAGAGATGTTATGGTGTCTGCTCTGGTGCCTTCTTTGAAAAAGGGTTATGAGACATTTTGGAAGCACAGGTGTGATGCATATGCTGACTGTGCTGCAAATGGGATGGGCTGGTAATCCTGGGGGAGAGGGTGGAAGGGCACAGCAAGGTCCCAGATCTGATGGCAAAGGAGGGACTCTTAATTGCTGTCACATGTTGCAGAAACACCTTTCCCCAGAATGTCCCTTCCCCAGGGAGTGGTTACTGTGCAGACTGGAGCATCTCTTTCCCAACTTCCACCACTGGAGTAGGAAAATAGCACTAGGTGGTAACTTTGATTTGCTTTGTGCTTTACATACTCTGTTATTTTCCTGCAAATCTTACTGCTCTCAGAAAGAGAGGAAACATCGTAATCCCATGAATAATGCATCATGTGGCTGGTATGTTTTCCTGTAGGCAGTATAGATTTTCTGAGAATGATGGACAGGAGTGGATTTCATTCTTAGTGAATTGTAATTTTATATAGTTTATATAGGTCATGTGAATGTGAAAAAGTGTGTTATTCCCATTTCAAATTAGTTATTTCAATTTAGTTACCTCTCATTTAGAGAGTAGAAATAGTTTTAGACATAATTACTGAGGATATAATTAATCAAGGTTTTCTTGCACAGTTGGGTTAAATTGTTGTGGTTGAGTGCTCAGTACCATGCCAGTGCTCCCTGGCTCAGTCTCATCTTTAATGGATTCCAGATCTCATGGTTTCAAGTAACAACAGCTTTTCCAGATCCCAAGACGATAATGAAATACACAGAGGAACTTCAAAGGAAACTCTTCTAGAAAGGAAAAATGAGGTTAAATGATGATAGTCAACTGCAAGATATTTTTGTGTCCATAAAATATGTCAGACCTATTCCAATGCAGGAGCAGGTGAAATCTGAAACTGTGCTTGACTAATAGACC